CACATCAGTGTTAGTTGGTAGCATTTGACATAGAATCTTTATATGACAGCATTCCACACACAAAAGGAATTGAAATGATCAAGGGCTTCCTATACGAACGGCCTAGGGCACAGTGGGAGTACAATGACTTTGTCATCATCCTACTACGATTTGTTCTGACTCGTAATATCTTTGTTTTTAAGGGCACCCACTACCTCAAGGTGCAGGGGGTAGCAATGGGCACTTGTTGTGCACTATCATATACCAACCTGTACCTGGGAGGGTGGGAGAGAGATCTATTTTCAAATGACTCTTTACAGGATTGGCTAGATAACATTCTGATCTGGCGACGCTATATTGATGATGTCTTCTTTGTATGGACAGGTACTAAATCGGGGCTTGAGGAATTTGTTGACTCTTTGGCCAGTAATGACATTAACTTGAAATTTACAACTAATTATAGTCAGAAGGAAATCACGTTTTTAGACGTAACAATCGTATTACAGGATAACAATTACCTCCTTACTAAGCTCTACCGAAAGGAAACAGCAGGGAACTCCATTCTGCATGCAACTAGTGCAAAAGCAAGGAGGATAAGGCAACATCACAGAAACAAACAGTAAAAATGATCACTAAATACTAGGGCTGTGCAAATTAACGATTAATTTCTCGATTAATCGTTAATCTTTTTGATCGATTAAAATTTTTTTGATCGATGAAACATTTTTTGAAACTTTCTGCACGAGCGCCAGCCAAGGCATTGGCCTATACACATACAGCACAGCAACGAAGTAATAAAATGAACCAGGATCACACTAATCCAGCACGTTACACACTCAAGCGGCGGCCATATTGAGTGGGGCACGTGAGAATAATAACGTGCTGGATTAGTGTGATCCTAGTTCATTTTATTACTTCATTGCTGTGCTGTATGTGTATAGGCCAATTTAGTTGGATCTGTATGTGCGTTATAATTAATCGAAATTAATCGATTAATCGATTAAAAAGAATTTTGATTAATCGAACACGAAAATTGTAATCAGTAACAGCCCTACTAAATACTTGAGGCATCTTTTGACGAATGATAGTACAATACGGAAATACATAAAAAATACTCCCGAACTGGTGTTTAGAAAAGCAAAATCGATACGTGATAGAATAACTCATAGATTCTATACACCACCCACTTTGTTCCAATTGCGAGGACTTGGGTTTTCATAGATGTGGGCATTGCAATTACTGTAAGTGGTTTGAGGAGGGCAATGGTCAACATTGGATACTTAAACATACAGTGAATTGTCAAACGAATAACGTTATATACTTGATGAGTTGTAAGTATGGGGCCTACTATGTAGGAAAAATGTTTAGACTGGTCTGGAAAAGAATCTATGACCATGTGTATGTCATGATACTAGTGATGTGAGCCCACAGTGCAGGCACGGATGGATGGAGCAAAAGGAGAGCCGGATAACGAGCCAAGGTCTGGACGGGCAGCAGACAAATGTAATCAGGAGAACTAGCCGAGTCGGTACACAATAGATCAGTCCACAAGAAGTCAGGTTATAATTGCACAGAAGGGGCTCAGGAACAAGTGTTGCTCCAGAAACTGGTGGGATTTAAATAGGGAGACACATGGGAGAATGGACAGGAAGTAGCAGGAAGGAAGGTAAATTAGCCATCAGGTGAAGCGGCCGACACCCAAAGCTGCTAAGTCAGTGCAGCAAGAGCAGAGCACAAGCTTGTGGAATCACAGGTGCCAGCTGACCCACAACAGCAAAAACTAAAAAAATATATGCTGTGAGGATTCGCTCCAAACGGTAGACCCTTAAGGACACCGCCACTCGCTTTTCACTTTCAGGGCTTCTTTGCCCACTTTTATTAACTCAAAAATTGATTTCAGGAAAGTCCTTTAACAAAAAAAACATCTGGCCACACAGGCTGTTTTCAAACACTAGCCACACCGGCTTGTCCTTTGGCCTCTTGCCACACATGCATATTGCCACACAGGCTGCTCGTTTGCCACACAGGCAGATTGCCACACAGGTGGATTTCCACACAGGCTGTCTGCTCCCCAGTCCACAGTCTGGTTCTAGGGTGGGGCTCCTCACTTAGGAGGCTGGGACTCCTTGTAGAGGCCCTAACAAGCCAGCTAGCTTCAGCTGGGCTTGTTACCTCCAAGCCTCCAGCCCTCTCAGCACTTCCCCCCTAGAGGAAGAACTTCCTTAATACAATTGAATACAGACATCCCCATATGCCTGCTGCCACAGTGCAAACAGAAAGACACAGATCAGCTCCGCAGCTGATCTGTGGCAGTGTGTCTGATTCAAAATGGCAAATTAACAACACCGATAAGCCGTCATACAGGGATCATATCTATGAAGATGGAAGAGGGGGAGATATTTTTGCAGACAGAGGCACTGTGGATTTTCAGGTTAAAGTCCACCGTCCCTCCGGGACTTAATGAGGTGCTCAGTTTTATGCCTTTTTTATGAAGGGGTATTCCTTTAAACTAATTAAAAAATACCGGACACACTAGAATGATAGGACATATTTTTGATGAATGCTGTGCTCTGAATAATTAATGTAAGAAGATAATTTTTTACTATTATAGAATATCAAAAAAAATGTAAATTGAATCATTAATAATAATGTTATAAACACTATGTAATTGTTCACCTGGTTAATTGTGGTTATTTTCCCTGTGGCTGAGCGCTCCTTGGATTGTGGGACCCCTTGGGTGACATTGGGTGACATTCCATACAAGGCCCATATTTTCACGGTATTTGGGGACATGTAAGGGACACTAAGGGAGGGGTGTAGGGATTTATTGTGTAGAGTGTATTAGTATATATAGAGGTGAGTCTAGATAGGGGGTTTGATTGGGGGAGGGGGAGGGCTGGGTGTGATTCACGGACTACCTTTGATCCACAATTACAACCACCCATTGCATGGGAGGACTGACCATGCACCTGGTTATAGGAAACTATGTATCACGGATTAAAGCTATTAAAAAGAAGTTTCACTTTGTCTTCACAAATACATACAAATATATTAATATTTATGTTTAATTGCTATAGATGTTCACAGTTTCTATCTAAACACTATGGGAATACACGTGTGCAGTCCGATATATGGGCTTGACTATCACTACATGGGGTGACATCTTTTAGATACAGTATATGTGTGTGTGCGTGTGCGGCTATGCACATGCGTATGTGTGTACCTGTGTATATGCATGTAGGCATGTTCCAGTTCTCTCACGCACACACTACTGTATCATATTGGCACATTGTGATCTTGGATTTGATTTTTTGACACGTGTTATAAGTTTTAAACTAGGTGAGGTGAGAGGAATAGGTTATGTGGATGGTAGAAAAAGGAAAATTGTATTTTATCACTGTTTCTATTGGTGAATGTGAAACCAACCCCGAAAAAGGTATGTTTAATACTACCTCCTGAATTGGCTGCTTATATTATATTTATAGGAATGCCTTATTTTTATCAAACAGGCACTTGAAAAGGATATTTATCTATTGTGGCCACTCCCCATTCATTACGGTACCTATAGGACTGGCCCTAGAAAAGGTGAACTGGGTCATCTTTGCTGTCCTCCGCTGCTCCCCCCCTTTGGAGTCCCGGTGTTCCCGACGTGGTTCTGGATGGGAGTTTGTGGGGTGGCTTTGCTTGGCCCCCTGCTGCCTCCCGATCCATAAGCCCCTATCTCATTCCAGGCATTATTGTTCTGGTAAGTACTGGGTGCCCGCTCTTTCAAGGGGGTCTCATGTATGCTGGGTTAATTGCATTTTATGATTTATCTGAAAATTTATGTACAGGTGAAACTCGGAAAATTAGAATATCGTGCAAAAGTTAATTTATTTCACTAATGCAACTTAGCCGTCTACCAGGAGATTTTGGAGCACTTCATGCTTTCTTCCGCAGACGAGCTCTATGGGGATGCTGACTTCATTTTCCAGCAGGACTTGGCACCTGCCCACACTGCCAAAAAATTTCTGAGATTGTGGATCTGGGTTTTCATGAGCTGTAATCATCACAATGATGACACATCACGGCTTGAACTATCTTGCTTTGCATGTAATGAGTCTATCTCATGTATTAGCTTCACCTTTTAAGTTGCATTAGTGAAATAAATGAACTTTTGCACGATATTCTAATTTTTGGAGTTTCACCTGTAGTTGGCGATGTTTCATTAAAGTAATTGGATTTAATTATCATTATTAGATCAATATCTTATGGTCCCCTGAAGAAGCTGAGTGTGAAACGCGCTGGAACCGGATGTGTCAGTCCTCCAGAAAGTTGACAGTTTTACATTAGCAATGATTATGCTCGTAACAATGGATGTGTAACACAAGATATTTCTAGTTGATTTTGATATATCCTGGATGATTGTTTGATCAATAAATATATTTGGGGGATTTTTACATCAATTTTAAATTTTATTATGTATAATTTATTGTATGTCCAATACATTTTGTTATATTTTTACCTATGCATTGTATTCACACCTCTATAAACCCCGCTCTCTTTGTTGTTTTATGGTTAATACAGGGGGAGAGGTGGCAATCAGGGTGCTTATTTTGAGGCAACTCATGAATTTGTTCCTCAATACATCGGGAAGTGAACGAACACATACCGCCGCTCGCTCACTTATCGATCATCTCCCTACAGAGAGTGCCTGCAGGGATTCCCCCCTCTCTGCTCCGATCCTCCAGCGCTGACTGGCGGAACGGGAGGGGGGGTGGTGGGTACAGCTGGCTCTGCCTCTAGATACCGCTGTCTAGAGCCCGCTGTCACTCACGCAGCTGGGTGGATCTCGACAGTAATGTAGCTCGTGATATTCTGAGCTTTGGGTCACGGGAGGATGCTAGTTTATGTCCTCCCATGACTCTAAAGAGAACCATAGATCTCTTTTAAGGCCCCTTCCATCTTTTAAGTTGATAACCACTGCTTCACATAATACATACACCAATGTGCATTCAGGGAATGATTTGATAACTAATTACCTAGTTTCATAAATAGAAGTTTCTGCAAGGAGTGAGGTAAACAGTTGTTGGTTTTGTTCAAGATGATTTTTGACATTTCTTTTCCAAATGCGCCAATAGCAGGTCGCTGAAGATCTAAAGACAAGTAAACAAACAGCATTACGACACTAATCATACCTATATTATGTCATATTTTTTTCCGGCTTATTTAGTGTGTTTTTGTGGTACATTGGTTTTTAGCATGAAATAGGCTTACAGGCACCAAAACTAGTTTAAAAAAGGGTTTTCTATCAGCCCTTACAATTAAGCTGTAAAAGTGAACTCCTGGATTTTCTAAACAAATACCCTTACAGTGGGCTCCTAATATAGTGCCCCGCCCTCCCCGCACTGGAAAGGTTAAAGTCTAGGGAAAGAGGAATGAGGTGTAATACTTACCCTATTCCTTGCTTTCCCAGCCATCCATGCTCACCTCTTCCCTCTGACACTGCAGATTGTGGGCAAGGTCTTGGTATCTTCACTTACAATGCCAGACTGCTGCTCCTGCATTAAAAGTGATGACATGGGAATGCAATGGCCATCCAGAGCACCAAAAAGAAGATGCTTTGCAGAATCGTTCACTACAGCGTAGTGAAAACCTCCCGGTGTGAGGAATAAAGTAAGTAGTATGCCTTATTCCTCCAACCCTAGGCCTAATGAGCATTTAAACCTTTCAGTGTGGGAGGGCACCACTGCAAGTTAATTTTTTCCGCTCCCTGGAGTGGGGGCTTTTAATTTTCCCCTAACATTTTAATTAAAATCTTCAAAAATATATATATACTGTGTATATGTATATGTGTATATATGCAGTGGCAGACCTAATAACCAAAGGGCCCTGGTGCAAAATTTTATCTTGGGCCCCCCTCCCAAAATGGAGGGGGGGCACGGGAGCGGATCACACTGCCCCCCAGCGGTCTCTAATGTTGCAGTAGCATGCTGGACTTACCTGAGACCCTGCAGAGCACACCATAGATCCTGCATAGCCCCCCTGAGACTCTCTATGGTGGGCTCTGCAGGGTCCCAGGTGGGCTGGTCTGGTTGTCGCGGTCCCTTTCCCTGTACCTCCTCCGAACTCTTCTTACCTGCTGCTGCTTGGGCCTGGCCTCCTCCACCCCTTCCCCTGTCACCTCTGCCATGCCACCCCGGTACCATTGATACCCATGTAAGAGGCCCCCCAGGCTGCTCAGACCCCTCACATGGGTACCGGCCATACCCCCCTGATGGTGGTGTTCTATCAAAGTTTGTGACTACATTAGAATGTGTGACCAGTGACGTGGTCACACGTTTTAACATAATCCCGCCCAGTTTTTCGGCGGTGGAATAGTGATGCATTCCAGCGCTTTCTCAGCTGTTCCAGGGCAGATCGGCATCGCAAATCGCATGTGCAGGAGAACCGATCTGCCCTGGAACAGCCGATCAGTCCTAAAATGTCACTTCTCTCTGACTGCGAACTCACATTCCACCGCACTCAAAAAGTCAACTTTGTGAGTGCGGTGGAATGTGAGATCGCAGTCGGAGAGAAGAACCGATCTGCCCTGGACCAGCCGATTGGTCCTGAAATGTCACTTCTCTCCGACTGCGATCTCACATTCCACCGCACTCACAAAGTCAAATTTGTGAGTGCGATGGAATGTGAGATCACAGTCGGAGTGAAGTGACATTTCAGGACCGATCGGCTGGTTCAGGGCAGATCCGTTCTCCTGCACATGCGATTTGCGATGATGATCTGCCCTGGAACAGCTGGGAAAGCGATGGAATGCTTCACCTATTTCACCACCGAAAAACTGGACGAGATTACGTTAAAATGTGTGACCACGATCACCGGTCACACATTCTAACGTAGTCTCAAACTTTGATAGAACAGAGGCCCTGTTTGTAATAATTTAATCAGACAAATAGATTATAATAGGGAGCATTACAGTGTAATATTCCCCATTATAATCCACTTGTCTAAGTACATGAAATAGCAGTACACAACCCTCCCACGACCCGCGCGCGCCGCTCGTACTCACCCAGCCAGAGGATCGCAGCAGCCAGGGGTTGTTGATGTGTGCACTGCAAGGGGCGGGGCGTGTGACACACATATTGCAGGACCGGACCCCACTGAGGCTGTGGGGGTGCCCAGGACCGGACCCCACTGGGCCCCTCCACAGCCTCAGGCTCCGGCTTCACCGGCGGTAGTTCGGCCACTGTATATATGTGTGTATATACAGGTGAAACTCGAATAATTAGAATATCGTGCAAAGTTCATTTATTTCACTAATGCAACTTAAAAGGTGAAACTAATATATGAGATAGACTCATTACATGCAAAGCAAGATAGTTCAAGCTGTGATTTGTCATAATTGTGATGATTATGGCTTACAGCTCATGAAACCCCCAAGAACCCCAAATCCACAACCTCAAAAAAGTAGATTATTACATGCAATCAATAAAACAAGGATTGTACATAGAACAATATCGGACCTCTGAAAAGTTATCTTGTATATCAGTGTACATTTACTGTCCGATCAAAATAACTCAACACACAGCCATTAATGTCTAAACCGCTGGCAACAAAAGTGAGTACACCCTAAGTGAAAATGTCAAAATTTGGCCCAATTAGCCAATTTCCCTCCCCGGTGTCATGTGACTCGTTATTGTTACAAGGTCCCAGGTGTGAATTGGGAGCAGGTGTTTTAAACTTGGTGTTATCGCTTTCACTCTCTCATACTACTGGTCACTCGAAGTTCAACATGGCACCTCATGGCAAATAACTCTCTGAGGATCTGAAAAAAAGAATTGTTGCTCTACATAAAGATGGCCTAGGCTATAAGAAGATTGCCAAGACCCTGAAACTGAGCTGCAGCACGGTGGCCAAGACCATATAGTGGTTTAACAGGACAGGTTCCACTCAGAACAGGCCTTGCCATGGTCGACCAAAGAAGTTGAGTGCACGTTCTCAGCATCATATCCAGAGGTAGTCTTTGGTAAATAGATTTATGAGTGCTGCCAGCATTGCTGCAGAGGTTGAAGGGGTGGGGGGTCAGCCTGTCAGTGCTTAGACCATACGGCGCACACTGCATCAAATTGGGCTGCATGGCTGTCATCCCAGATGGAAGCCTCTTCTAAAGATGATGCACAAGAAAGCCCGCAAACAGTTTGCTGAAGACAAGCAGACTAAGGTCATGGATTACTGGAACCATGTCCTGTGGTCTGATGAAACCAAGATAAACTTATTTGGTTCAGATTGTGTCAAGCGTGTGTGGTGGCAACCAGGTGGGGAGTACAAAGACAAGTGTGTCTTGCCTACAGTCAAGCATGGTGGTGGGAGTGTCATAGTATTGGGCTGCATGAGTGCTGCCGGCACTGGGGAGCTACAGTTCATTGAGGGAACCATGAATGCCAACATGTACTGTGACATACTGAAGCAGAGCATGATTACCTCCCTTCAGAGACTGGGACGCAGGGCAGTATTAAAACATGATAACGACCCCAAACACACCTCCAAGAAGACCACTGCCTTGCTAAAGAAGCTGAGGGTAAAGGTGATGGACTGGCCAAGCATGCCTCCAGACCTAAACCCTATTGAGCATCTGTGGGGCATCCCCAAACAGAAGGTGGAGGAGCGCAAGGTCTCTAACATCCACCAGCTCCGTGATGTTGTCATGGGGGAGTGGAAGAGGACTCCAGTGGCATCCTGTGAAGCTCTGGTGAACTCCATGCTCAAGAGGGTTAAGGTAGTCCTGGAAAATAATGGTGGCCACACAAAATATCGACAATTTGGACATTTTCACTTAGGGGTGTACTCACTTTTGTTGCCAGCGGTTTAGACATTAATGGCTGTGTGTTGAGTTATTGTGAGGGGATAGCAAATGTACACAAGCTGTACACTCATTACTTTACATTGTAGCAAAGTGTCATTTCTTCAGTGTCGTCACATGAAATGATATAATAAAATATTTACAAAAATGTGAGGGGTGTACTCACTTATGTGAGATGCTGTATATATAGTCAAAATGTTTAGTTTTGCACAGAGTAATAAATAAATTGTTTTTATTTTAGATGCAGTTAAAGTTAACACTGAGACATCTTTAACTTGACCCTAAAAGGTAACTCTCAACCTAACCATAACCCTTGACCTAATGCTAACCCAGAAAACTTAAGCTAACAATGCCTTAAAATCAAAACTTTAAATCTGACCAGAAACATTGCAATCCACTTTAAGAGCCTCCAAAAAACGTGTGGTGTGAATGCAAATTGAATGGAATGTTTAGTTAGGCCTTCACATGATTTCTTAAATCTGAGGCTGATGTAACATTGGATATTCTACTGTTGTTAGCTACCATGTTGCTGCTGAGTGGTTGCTAGTGACAGGATCTCTCATGTAACATGGCTCTATATGAGATTGTACAACCAGAATGTAACATGTATGGCTAGTTTATACATAACACTTCAGTTTTTTGCACTTTATGTCTCTTCCATGCTCTTTACACTCATATCACATACAGTATGTCCATTGTGTTTTTTGGGGATCAACACCCATAGACTATTTGCTAGTTTGGACTGCCATGACTCTCTAGAATTGGGAAATCAAAACACTTTGCATTCTATGACACTGCATGACAAACACTTGTTATAAAGTGTGACACACTATCGATATAATGGTAGATACTTAAGCATCTTCCACAGTTTAATGTCATAGGTTGAAGCTGTCCCAGAGTTTACTATGCACACTGAAGCCTCTTTTATTCTATTTAGTTAATTCTATCTAATAATACCATTGATGGTCTTATCTAATACTGACATACATAAAGCAACAATAATATGTCACGTTCAGGATCCCTGGACAACCCAAATCAATTACCATTTCAAAAGTTGCCAACATTCAGAAAACTAAAAGGTTATTGCCTATTGGCTGCTGTCATTGACCACACTTTGTATATTATATTTTCCCTTATAAAACAATCTCAATAATAATCTTTCTACCATACAGATACTGTATATCTTCTATACTCACAAAATTATTAACATAGATATTAAGCACGTGAACTTGTGAAATCATATAATGTATAATGGGCCACTGGCCACAAAACAACTTTGTAAACCACCACATTTCACCTCTCTGTTTTCTATTTTCATTTTTTTAGAGCTGCCATTATAGGTCCCATCCAATGTAAATATTGTTTTGTTTACATTGTCTGTTCGCTGTCTGCACTGACCAAGACCAGAATATAAAGAGACACATTTGCAGACCAGGAAGAGGAAGAACAAGGAGGGCAGCAGAGATCTTTCTATCTGTACATTCTGATTGTCACAAGTGATTGTCAGAAATGACACGGCATGGCAGATAGGCAAGCCTTAGCTTAGTTAATACAGGGACTGTTTTTATGCAAGGGATCAATATCTGCTCCATCATGAATATTTGAGTGCACTTAAATATATAAACCATCATTTATGGCTCTAGCCATTAATAAGAGTTTGATTCAAAAGAGGTATAAGAAGATGATGCCTTCCTTGTGCCTTTCAGTCCCAGTCTGCAAACATGTTTCTCTCTACATTGACTGTTGGTCAGTGCAGACTCCAGAGAGGCTGATTCCAAACAAAGCAATGTTTACACTATCCTGGACATGTAATGACAGGTCTCAAAGCACAGAGAAAGAATAAGCAGAAGTTTATTTTATATAGCGCTGTCAATTACTTAGCACTTACACACTGTACATTCACATCAGTCCCTGTCCTCAAGGGGCTTTAAATCTAAGGTCCTCCTTTCATATGCACACTTACCAGGGGCAATTTAGACAGGAGCCAATTAACCTACCAGCATGTCTTTGATGTCACTATATATATTAGCAACGCTTATATTTAAAAAAAATAAACAACAGTTATCCAGTAAATAAAATGTACATTGCATAATAAGTAAAACATATCTTTGCTATAATGTCAGACATCTGATACAACTCACTGTGCTTAGTCATACAAAAATAATACATATTGTAGGCCTGCACAGAGTAATAAAAGGATAAGAACAATATAGAGTACCTGTCAGGCTGCGGAGAGGTTGATGAGAAATGCCACAGCACAGTTTGAGAGTCGCAGGGAGCATAGTTGGTGGGATGAGATGTGCAGTCCGGCCTTCCGAGCTGGAGAGGCTTTGCATTCTACCCTCTCCTATCTTTATAGTTATCCTGAAGGACAGCACCTGATGATAGGCAGCAAGTTTTCAGATAGAAAAAAGAAATGGAGAGAGTCCAAGGACAAAGAAAGCTCAGAGGGATCTACGAAGAGAATAAAGAAATTACTTATTAGTTCTCAAGCCAAATGATTCATCTTTACTGTACACATCTGCGTATAAAGTCTTATCTATCGTTAAGACGTTAATGTTGCCCAAAGGAACTGTACATTCAAATATGAACATTTACAAAGCAAACATATCTGCATATATATTTGATGGTTATAATATATTTATTAATATAAATCCAGATAGTTTAGTCAAGTAACAGAAATGTATTAGCAACATAAACAGGATCAAATACAAAATGGGAAAAACTACTGTTACTTGCATATAATGAAGAATCTAAAGCTGACCATACACCTTGCACCATACCACTTACACCATACACCAAGATTTTTGTTGCTCATCAGGCTGAATGAGAGGAATTACCTGGTTTCCCCATCCATGCTACAGGATCTCCCCTGCTGTCTTGAGAGGATGATATTTACCGTGAGAGGTATCCATTATATGGGATCCTCAAAATGATTTGATTTAGGCATATTTATTTATCTATATGATGGAGGTCATGTAATATTGACTTGTTTGACTTGTTTATGCACGCAATCTTTTAAATGGCTAATTTTAGCTCTATCCATTGATATTGTACTTCGTTGTTTTGTTTCCTAACCCTGATAAAGGGGCAGTTGTGAGCCCCCTGTAAGGTGTTGGGTATTATCTACTTACTTTTTTTCAAGATTAATAAGTCTATCCTGGACCAACTACAATGAGTGGCCAGATTATTATGACCACCCCATCAGTACTTTGTTGGGCGACGAGATAACTCCACGAGATGACTTTGTTGGGCCACCTCGTGACTCCACGAGATGTTGAAAGGTGATGCGAGGAATCAGACACTGCACTGTTGCCCTTCTGTTGTCTTGTACCAGTCTTGCCACTCTCCGTTCTGCCCTAACATTGACTAGTCGCTGACGGCCACAATTCGCACGTTCAGACCCAGATTTTCGGCTGACAGTCCACTCTTTAAACACATTAACAATGAGCCCCTCTTGAACATTTAACGAATTCTGCTGTTTTGCTGATACTCGCTCCATGGCTCGCGCCAACAATTATCCCACGTTCAAAGGCTGTTAAATCGCGTTGTTTACCCATACCTTCAGAAAAAAATCACTTGTACTGTTGTGGTAAACAACCTGCTTCCCTATTTATAATGGTCTGGCCCTCTAGCAACTTCAGCGTGAAATTATAGCTAATTATAGCTAATTTGCCTACAAACGTCAGGTGGTCATAATAAACTGGCCACTCAGTGTATATTTTTGTGGTGCTCTCATTCTTCCTACTGCTTTGGATTGCTTTAGGGACCCATGGGATATTCTGGATGATAGGGAGTTGCCTCTTGAGACTAGAGATCACACTTGATTACATGTATCATTCAAATGTAATTTAAACAGTGAAATTCAACCTAACAGGTAATTATTAAGAGATGCACAGGTGGGACTAACAAAATGTTGATCCGTTTGTCAAATCATTACCGAAACTATTACATTTCCCGTATTTCATTCCAGAGATGTAAACAAAAACAAAGTGTCGTATGTGTGATGTCAATTAATGTCACGCACGCATTTCAAGCCATGCACCATGCACTCTAAATTCACCGGCGGGAGGAGGACTGAGAGTGAGAAGAAATGGGTGGGGAGGGGAGAAGGATTGTGTAAGAGTTGGAGAAGGAGTGGGTGGCAGGAGAAGGATTGGGCAGAAGGAGGAGGACTATGGAGGAGCAGGACTGGGTGGGAGAAGGAGGAATGAGAGGGAAAAGGAGTGGGTGGGAAGAGGCGAAGGATTGTGTAAGAGATGGGGAAGGAGTCGGCGGGAGGAGGAGGACTGGGCAGAAGGAGGAGGACTAGGGAGTAGGAGGACTGGGTGGAAGGAGGAGTAGGACTGCGTGGGAGGAGGAGGACTGGGTGGGAGGAGGAAGACTAGAGAGGAGAACAACTGAGAGAAAGGAGTGGTTGGGAGAAGGAGATGGATTGTGTAAGAGATCAAAAAGAGTGGGTGGGAGGAGGAGGACTGGGCAGAAGGAGGAGGACTACGGAGGAGCAGGACTAGGCGGAAGGAGGAGGACTGGGTGAGAAGAGAAGGAGGACTGGGTGGGAGGAGGTCTAGGAAGGAGGAGGACAGGGCAGAAGGAGGAATATGACTTGGTGGAAGGAGGAAGAGGACTGAGTGGGAGGAGGAAGACTAGGGAGGAGGAGGACTGGGCAGAAAGAGGAGATGGAAGAGACACCTTCAGAATTTTCGGACCAGCACGAGGACCCAGAAAACTGAAGAGGCAAGCCATGCCACCAGAGGGGGTAAGTGTGTGCTTGTATGTATCTGCATGTATGTAATACGTACAGTATGTGTATGTAGTCAGTGTCACGGAAATGGTGTGTGTACCTTGCTCCCACCTATCCACCATTCCAGTGACACTGACAGTGCACCTGGCTGCCACCTATAGGCACTATCAGTGTGACTAAAATGGTGGATAGGTAAATCAAACCTGTGAGACTTTGCTTCTCTATATATTGGCCACTGTTGGTGCCTTTCAGAAATCGTTTTACCACCAAGAAACTGATGTCATGGACTAAGGTTAACATCTGCAGTGTTTTCTTATTGTACAAGTGCTTGTGCATCTTCCAGCAAAAATACAGCCTTGGAATTGTGTCTAGTAATCTTTCATAGCTGTATATTGGGTTGAGAGACAAAGATATAAGACAGATGCCAATTTCTGTTCTCTCTCTCTTTCCCTCTTTAAAGCGGTGTTATTGGTTGTCACTATATTAGCAATGTTTACTTAAAGAGCATCATATTGTACAGTTGCTTAATTATAAGAATAATTGACACCACATGCAAAATGTATTAAAGGAGAACTATGGGGTCAGTGTTTTTCCCCATAGTTCTCCTTAGGGTAACAGGAGCGTCCTCCCATTACCCTAAGCTCAGTATACCGCAAGCTACAGCTCGCGATATACTGAGACGCCGCAGCCGGAGCGGATCCCGATGTAGATGACGGGATATGCCCAGCTGCGTGAGTGACAGCTGGCTCTGCCTATCTAGAGGCAGAACCAGCTGTACCCGCCCCCTCCCCCGTTTGTTCCGCCAGTCAGCTCTGGCAGATAGGAGCGGGGAGAGGGGAATCCAGCCCTCCCCCTGTCACGGCTCTCTGCCTGCCATACCTGGCATGTGTTCGCTCACCTCCCGATCTACTGAGCCGACCTGTGACAGTCTCATTGTCACAGGTCGGCTAGAACTATGAGGTGAGTGGAAATCACTCATGTCATAGTTCTCCTTTAGGTTCTTGTATGGTGTGCGTGTTGTCACCTAAGTAGAAAAAAAAACAATGTATTGTTATGATGTTTTTAAAACATGCAATCTTTGTATATTTTTTCATTTATACAGGATTAACTATTTTAACCCTTGCTAGTATTCAGTCCATTAGGACTTCAAGGTTTGTTCTCTTTTCAATGCTTGTTAAATATTACTTTTTTACATAAATTATTCAAAAATATACCATACTTTAAAACTTTTGTACAGCAGACACTGAGGTTAGCCATAGATGTGTGGGTATCTACCTAGAACTCACCACACATGTTCCAATCTAACTGTGCAACATTCTTTAGACCCCTAGTGCCCAACACATGTCTTTTCGGATCTCTCTGTGTGGCTCGCCAAGTGCTGAGCACTTTGCAGAGTGGCAGTGGGATGCCGGGTGCTGGGACGCTCCTTGGGTCCCTGCACCCAGCATTGAAATTACTCCAGTGCTATCAGGTGGAGTGTTCTCTACCTGACATCAAAAGTATAGTCTTGGCCCGATGTCATCAGTGAGAGAGCAGTACTGAGAGTGGGTATCTGGTAAGTAAATACTAAGAGGGTTAAGAGTATTGCCACTGACCATCAATGCAGGAGTAGAGTTTCAGTGACACTGACAGTGCACCTGGCTGCCACCTATAGGCACTATCAGTGTGACTAAAATGGTGGATAGGTAAATCAAACCTGTGAGACTTTGCTTCTCTATATATTGGCCACTGTTGGTGCCTTTCAGAAATCGTTTTACCACCAAGAAACTGATGTCATGGACTAAGGTTAACATCTGCAGTGTTTTCTTATTGTACAAGTGCTTGTGCATCTTCCAGCAAAAATACAGCCTTGGAATTGTGTCTAGTAATCTTTCATAGCTGTATATTGGGTTGAGAGACAAAGATATAAGACAGATGCCAATTTCTGTTCTCTCTCTCTTTCCCTCTTTAAAGCGGTGTTATTGGTTGTCACTATATTAGCAATGTTTACTTAAAGAGCATCATATTGTACAGTTGCTTAATTATAAGAATAATTGACACCACATGCAAAATGTATTAAAGGAGAACTATGGGGTCAGTGTTTTTCCCCATAGTTCTCCTTAGGGTAACAGGAGCGTCCTCCCATTACCCTAAGCTCAGTATACCGCAAGCTACAGCTCGCGATATACTGAGACGCCGCAGCCGGAGCGGATCCCGATGTAGATGACGGGATATGCCCAGCTGCGTGAGTGACAGCTGGCTCTGCCTATCTAGAGGCAGAACCAGCTGTACCCGCCCCCTCCCCCGTTTGTTCCGCCAGTCAGCTCTGGCAGATAGGAGCGGGGAGAGGGGAATCCAGCCCCCCCCCTGTCACGGCTCTCTGCCTGCCATACCTGGCATGTGTTCGCTCACCTCCCGATCTACTGAGCCGACCTGTGACAGTCTCATTGTCACAGGTCGGCTAGAACTATGAGGTGAGTGGAAATCACTCATGTCATAGTTCTCCTTTAGGTTCTTGTATGGTGTGCGTGTTGTCACCTAAGTAGAAAAAAAAACAATGTATTGTTATGATGTTTTTAAAACATGCAATCTTTGT